GTTTTCTCAACACTATTTATTGGAGAGGCTTTCCTTTCCAGAATGTGTACTCTAGGCTCCTTTGTTGTTGATTAACTGACCGAATAGGTGCATTTTGGGGCTTTTGAGTCTATTACATTCTTTTGTGTATGGATGATAAACATTTAATACTGATTCTCTACTTCTTCCTCAGTTCTCTTGGCCCTCATAAACCCTTGATTGTATTTTCTGACAGGAAGTACCTTGAATTTATTCTTCTGACAGTTCTGCTGTGGGTCTTGCCTTTTTGACTGAACTTTGTTCTATGACAGATGGGTGATTTCAGAGTTTAACCAGGAGTCTGTCTTCCGAAATCTTTCTCTCCCCTATACCTTTCTCTCTCTCTTACCTCAAAACTTAAACATTGATTAAAAATCTTTGAGTACACGAGAGTCTATGCCATTATGTGTGCAGGTGACATGAACCCTTAGAACAGACAACATGGGTTTTTCCTCTCAACAGTTAGGGATCCCTGAGAATCCCCTCGGTTCCACCTGGTGTAAGGTTTTTTTTTTTTTTTTTTTTTTTTTGCCAAGTATCAATTTTGGTTCTCTGACCAGGAATGAGACTCCTGGTATCACTATTTGCACCCCACCCCCAAAGATATCATTCTTTCTTACTGTATGGCTATGATAAAAGCAACCAGCCCTTTTGATGACTGAAATAATTATTAATATCATGACCCTAATTTTGATCATCTATTAAAATCAACATCATTCCACTTGATAAAAAGCAAAAACAAATGCTTTTCAGGCAATATTCCAGGTATTAGCTTTCTAAATAAACAGAATCTTATTCACAAAAAAACTATGTAATGATCACCGGTTCTTCCTTACAACATTATATTTGGTTTCCTTGATCCATTTCCCCTTGTCTAACTCACCAGAAGTCATATCAGCAACTCCTTCAAAATCCATTCCACAACCTCTTACGCTTCTCCATCTCCATCACCACCATCCCACCCCAGACAACCATCACAATCTCAACTATTGCAACAGCCTACCTAGTCAGTTTATTTTATATAGGTAGGAACAATGAGTCACTAGACTGGAAAAAAAAAAAGTAAATGTTCTTGACTGGGGGAGAGGATGTAGGTGAAATTCTGATTTTCCATATGATAGATCTTTTGATTGCCTATGTTATCTTGACGTAAAGATATGTTGATGCTGTCTGTGCACAAAGAAGGGCAAATGTTGAGGCTTAATTATTGCCTGATTTCTAAAGAATTCACTGCGTAGATCTAGGTAGATCTAGGACAGTACCCATTTTTAAAACCTTATTTCTCTGTCTCCTTGTCCATTAGTGGGTACTGAGAGGCTGGTTTATCAGAGGTCAGCATATTCTTGCACAGAAGCGGAAACGAGCCAATACTGACTTAAAAACCTATGCAAATGGCTTTGCTTTCTCCTCTGTTAGGCCAGGAAAAGGATGTTTCCCAGACCATTTACAATATGTTTACAACTTGGACAAACACCTTCTAAAAGCTCTCACTTTAACAAAAATACATTTCCTTCCATGGTTTTCCGTACCTTGAAAACTCTGACATTTTAGCCCTTTCTGTCCTCATTTCAAGAAACTTTAGCTACATAGGTACTCAGGCTATGCCTTGATTCTTTATTTAGGTAAGCTTGCACTGATGCCAGACCCTCTGTACTTACCAATTGAGCTTCTTGGGATGACCTTCCCTTGAATGTCACATTTTATGACTTATGAGTGAAGCTTTCCGATACATTCTCCTACCCGTCTCCATTCACTCTATCATATTATTTTTGTTTATTTTCTTCATAGCGTTTACTAGACATTGATATAATTCATTGCCTATGCTTCTATTTGTTTCTTTTTTAATATAACTTCTTATCATAATACAATATAAATTTCAAAAGAACAGGAATCTTATTTTTCTTGTTCACTATAACCCTGGAACTTAAAACACTTTATGATATGCAGAATGATTTAGCAAACATATATAAATAAATATTACCACTCAAAGCTTTTTATATTTTAGTGTTCTTGAAACTTTAAGCTAAATGTGAGGGAAAGTGTGATGTTCTTTCATATTTTCTACAACATTCCTAAAAACAAAATGTTAGGCTTTAAAAATGCATAAAATAACATGGGATTAAAATTAAAAGGGCTAATCCATAAACTGCATAAACTGCATATCTTCATCTTTATTTGAAGATCCCCAAATAAAAATGATTTTTTGCTCTAATTACATGTTTGAATGGAGAGAGAAGTGGTAGAGGGAGAAGGAATTAATATACTCTTAGGGGAAAGCACAGAGCTGGGCTGGGAAGAATGTGAGATCTCCATAAAAAGTGGAGGTTTCATGTTCCCTGCCTCACCTAATGAAGGAGGGAGGAGGAGCTGAATAAGACTGGGAAAAGAGACTTGGAAGAGGCACATGGAGCAGAGAGACATGTGAAATAGCCCTGTTTGCTTCCCAGCTTTGGAATTGCACCAGGGACATGGGGCACATGGAACAAGACACATGGAGTCAAGACACATTGAGGCACTTGGAAGAGACATGGTTGAAAGACCCAATGGGAGGCTGATAACTGCCACCTTTACCTATTGATAGATTTGTACTTTGATTTTGTTCCTTTATCCCAGACTTGCCTGGGACTTTCCGTCCCTTTCCTATGATTCCCCACCAGAAGGTTCCTTAGACTTATGTCAAGTGTTTATGCCTCAGTGGCCTTGCTTTGGGTAGGCGCTCTTTGGCTGGGCATTTACCCACAAGGAAATGGGTAACTTTGGGTCTTTTATTGGAAGAGATTATCTATCCTTCCTTCTCTTCTCTCTTTTTAAGCACACTATTATATTAAAGTTCTTTCACAATAAAACTGTACTTTGTCTTTATGCAGCAGGTGGCAGAACCTCTTTAGAGTTGCAAGTTTGGGGGTTCTGGGTAACCTAAGTCTATAACAAGGGTGGCACTCAAGTTTATTCCCACTGGTTGTTCTGTCTCCAAGGACACTGATACTCAAAAGAACTGTTCGTTAGAAATCCTCCCAGCTGTGATTTTCTAGAAATCAGCAGAGAACTAATTATCAGAAACTGCTCTCCCCACAGATAAGTCCATTCCTTTCCATTTCACAGTAATACCTCAATCTACATAACTTCTTATTGTGTTAAATCTTTTGGGTTTCAGAGAAAGTCCTTGACACACGTACACAGTGAATGTATAGTTATGTTAATAAACTTGCTGTTTAGGTCCATGAAATGTTTCTTTTAAGAATATCTTTAATTTCATATTTGTTTTGTGTTCAGTTTGTTAGGGTAAGTAGAGTATAAGGCCAATGAAGAAAATGAGGAGAAAATGCAATCACATAAAATTGGGAGAAAGAAGTTCCTGACTCCGAGTCAACTACCCCATGCCATATTAAAGAATTTTGTTAATTGTTGTTTGCTTTTCACTTTATGGCACACCCAGCTGCCTTCCAACATGACAAGGCTGGGAATATTTATTAGTCCCTCTAACAAGAAGATGGTGCCAGGTAAGAATAGGAAGCAGCCAGTTTGGAGATAAAATGAAAAAAATGGAGGACTAAGGTTTACCCCACTTGTTTTAGTTTATTCTAATTCCACATTAAATGACTGATAAGATTGTTTACTTCTGAACTCTAGGGGAAGAAAATGCTGTCAATTTGGAATAGTTTTAATTAAAAAAAGCAAACATTAGGAAAAAAGCTAGTGTTTGCCGTTATCCATATATTTATTTTAATTCTCATTTGCAAATTGATATATGGTCTTGAAAATAGTTCCACAACATTTGTAGCCCACCACAATCTTCAGTAATAGTCTCTATAACAACACACACCTGTCACAAAGAAAGAGGGGAAAATATTCAATTATCCAATTCATTCCAAGGAAGAAAAAGATCTCCCAACAGTGATTATCTGTCATGTTATTTTTTCAAATTAGATAGTTAAATCTCAAGAAGGAATCTTCACAAGTCACAAAACAAACTGGTGAATCTTCTTTTACATGGAAAGTATCAAAAAGATTTCACAATATTTTATGTAATTTATTTTCCTAATACTGAAAGAGATCAAGGGTTATAATAGGTAAAGAAGAAAAACAGGCCTGTATTGGTATTTTACTATTTATTATCACATTCTATCTCAGAACTCAGTTTCATTGACTTTCAAAATCCATTATTATTTTACTTCTTGATCAACAGACTATACATTGAAGAGGACTGATAAGAGAAAGGGTATAGGTGGAAACAACAAACAAATTTAACTAACCCATATAGATAAGAATCCAGTATTCTGCCTCACAAATACTAGGCTCCCCATAAGTAAACCAAGCAGTCTACTTTCTTATGAGAAATTAATATATGAAAATTCTTATATATCTGGGTTTTAGATGCATACTCATCACAACTAATGTCACACATGTGTCACATACCTGAGAAAGATTAGCCACACTCTGGCTTGAAAATGGTAATCCAGCTGTGCTGTTATTCGTTATGAATTATGAATATGCCTTTTGAATTATTGTTCCGCAGTGTTAACTCTCTTGGTGAATGGGAGCTGGGGGAAAAAGCAGACAATGCTGCTTCATGTCAATATTGAGCACATAGATGAGTCATGAATGCACTGAAATAGCATTCTAGGGCCCATGAAAACCTACGGCCCACTGAGAACAAAACTGTTGCCTTATGGAGCTGCTTTTGTGGAATATCAACATCAGCAAAGTCAGAATACAGACTTAGAATTACTTACAATCATGACCTGTTAAAGCATACTAGAAAGCTGTCTAGTGTGGTCATCTGTTAAGAAAAGGTTTGGCAAGTACTACAATCAACAAAAGGAAAGTATAGAAACAGACATACTGAGCTAGTGAATGGCTGAGGGAAGGAGGACTTGTGTCACATGTTGTTTTTTAAATTATAGGGTGAGTGGGCATACACACATCACATCTGATATTTCCACTGAAATCTGCCTCACGGACAAATGAATTATTCTACTTACATCAAATGGCGCTGAACTTGGTTGGGTACTCTGATTACATGGTTCCCTGAAGCAGTCACTAAAAGGAAGTAGGAGACCCATAGCGATGATCCTTGAGCAAAATTTCTCTGCTTCTTCTGGAGGCCCGTTCTCTTGCTGGCTGAACAGCTTTTCCAGTAAAGTCCGCCCTGCAGATGAAACCCGGTTATTAGAAGCGAGCACTAGCAGATCTCTCAGCTCAGTAGTCTCCCAGAGGAAAGGCTGGTTAACAGCGCCAGTAAGCAGTTCTGTTGCTAGGGCTACTAATGTGCGCCAATGAAGCCTCTCAAACTAAGAGAAAACTCTGCTGTTGAAGATATAGGATATCACATAGAAAAATATAGATCTGTTTGTTCTCTCATCCCCCAAAATTCCTCTTACCCAAAATAAGAATATGACAGATATAATATAGATCATTAATCATCTTCCATCTAAAGACACACAGCAGTGTTTTGGATACAGTTGATAATCCTCCTCCTCTATTTGTTTACCTGCTAATAGCTCTCTGAGGAAGATGTTACAAACTACCATGTGGGCTAAGAAATGTCATTAGCTGACATTTATAGTCTCAGGCAAAGGTACCAGAAGAGTTGACCAGAATAAAATGGTCACCACTCTGAAGAACACAGTGAGAGAAACTGAAGCTTTTCTCATATGCTTCTTGAACCAAAATACAAGGGTAGGTCTGAACTTGTCTTTCTTAGCATTACACTGAGAGACAAGAGAAGAGAAGCACAACAAGAAGAGGACAGTAGCTGAGGACTCTTGAAGACCCAGACCCTGCCAGTCCCATTTCTGAATCTTGGCTGAACCATGGACTTACCTGGGGAGAACAGAATGACAGTATGTGGGACATCAGTATTTTATTGCTCATCAATTGATTTTAATGTTAGCCATAGGTGAACACCACAGGTTCAGTCCTTAATCCATTTCTGCTAATGCTGTTCTCTAATTTACTGCCCTTAATTTGTTAAGTTTGTTTCTGTGGTAATCAACTACATAGATGAAATAGAAATGTGTAAGGTCCATTCCAGGGCTACAACTGTTTTCAGTTCTTACTTTGCTTCCACCCATCCTTCAAATTAGTGGATTCATTGTTCAAATTTACATTAAAATCACTGACCCATATTAGCTCTTCCACACTTTCAGAACAGCCCTTCCACTTTTGGGTAACCCCCTTCCATACTTTCACTACCCTTCACAGTTCCTCTGCTTTAATTAAATATTGTACAATTATTTTTTTCAATGTCTATCTCTCTTACTAAAACATAAACTCTCTGGCAGCTAGCATATATCCTGCAAATTTGGAAACTTGCAGATAGGAAGCAAAATAAAATATTTTTAAGATTTCTGAATGATTTATAAGTGCCATGATGTGACAAAGACTCATTCACATAATAGTCAGAAATGGAAATATACGTCTATACCAGAGGTTAGCAAACATTTTTCTGTAAAGAGTCAAATAATAAATATTTTAGACTTTGAAGGCTACCCAAGGTCTCTGTTGAATATTTTTTTCTTGGTTTTGAAAATTTAAAATAGCATGCATTGTTCAGGACTGTATGAAATAGGTGCAAATCTATACTTCAATTACAGCAACTCAATTTCAAATGTACAGTAATAAAACAATTTTTGAGCCTCTTTTTATTGGAAAATAAAACAAAACTAATTACAAAATCTACCTGTGATATGTAGAGTAATGGCAAAAAAAGACCACTGTATTTTCACTATTCATTCAGGTCATTAGAGAACATTCTTTGGTCTCCCAGGACATTTTGGGGGGAAATGAATTTTTTCAGCTACAGAACTGAAGTATGCTTGCACCTAACTGGAACCAAACACCTAGGAAACCACATCACTCAATTCTCAAGTGATTAATTATCATTACACTATACTCATTTTATTCATCTTATGGTATGACTAAAAATAGTCATAAAGCTAATTAGTTCTTTCATGTAACTCTGATGTTGTTTATGATGGGAAACACAGGAGAAAGAATGTTGAGTGTCCATGAGTGAGTGTGAGCTAGTAATTGTGTATGTGAATATAAAAACAAAAAATTTCAAAGGATTTCTGGAATAAGGTGGACAAGGGAAGTATAATCCCCTGGGACTTCAGTTCCATGATAAGCAAATATCCTGAAACCCCAAATCCAGAGCTCTCAACACCACCACAGACACCCTGTTATGGGGGTTTTCCTGAATGTTGTAGGTGTTGAGCAGTATTACTGGCCACTATTCACTAGATGCATCACCCCACTCCAGCTATAAGAATAAAAATATATCCAGGCCTTTGTCAAAATATATGTATGCATTTGGGGTAACAAAATCTCCTTAGGTCAAGAACATCTGCTTTAACCTCTTTGAAGGAATCTCAACGCCCCCCACCCCTTATAATAACAGTAAACTGGCTATCCCTTGAGTCTTCCTCTTATTATGGTCCTCTGAAGTAGAAACATTTATGTCAAATTCCACGTATCTAAAAGACAGGAAGTAGGTGGGTAACTTCCTTGATCCCTATGAACACTTTCAAATAGTGTCTTCTCTAAAATCATAAGCTCCCTTAAAACTCCTGTAGCTTCATCCTACTGGTTAGGGGCATTGTCCCTAAATCCTGAAGGGGTAAAAATGTCTCACTACCTGTTTTAGCAGGCAGTAAGAGTGGTTGCCATCCCAAGTAAGGATAGAATGGAATCCTTGCATCAGCATCAACACAACATAAAACTATTGTAATCTGGTGATGCAAACTTTGTCAAGAGGTTGAACAGACAATTCAAAGCCTGATGTGGGACAACAAAGTCTACATTCTATTGGCCTGAGACTTGAGACCAGTTCAAACACCGAGAAGCCACACTTTGCAGCCATATGATGTCTCTGAAGTTGACAAAGTTCTCCATCTTTTAGAAAATGACAATTTAACATTCATTTAATCCAAGTCAAAAGACTGGGAAAGAAACAAGAAACATTAGTTTGGAACATCATAGCCAGACTTTAAAAAACTGAGATCCTATTCAAATTACATGTAAAAACCAAAACATCAAAAATTAGAGAACAAGAAACTGCTAACCAAAAAAATTTTACTGAAACATGATTTCTCACCACCCTTACTCCAACCATACCAAATAATTACAATAAAAATTGCAAGTCCAGTTTTAGTAATCTTGGGCAGTTCTTTTGCATAAGCACAAAAAGAACAAAACATTAATTGTATATTTTTAATTAAAATATGCATTGCTGAATTGTTCAGAGGAATCTCAGATTGAGCTCTTTATAATCAGTCTCTCAGGGCAGGGGACCATGCCAAACACTCACCATTAGACTTTAGCTAAAATACCTTTATTTGTGTCTTTGGGCAAATTCCTATGCTTGAGGTCACAAAATGTCCTGAGGTCTCCTGGTATGTCCAGGGATGACCTTCCTTACCCTTTTCCTGATAGATCTGAAACTATGAAAGCAAGGTATCAGGCTTTATTTTTCTTGAGGTCTCTGAAATCAGTGTATTCTTGAAAGCAGTCTGAATACAAATGTAACATCTAGTCAAAGATTATCTTCCGATATTCTATTATAGAGGAAAAAGAGAGACTTACTGGATTTATGCAAATAAACACATTTCTACAAAAAAATAGGAATATTTACTAAAAGTTCACTTTTGGGGGTGGAAGAAAAAGAAAAGCAAATGTTTCAGTTCTCACAAAAATCTGCAAAAGGAGTATTCTGTTAATTCAAAACATTAATACTGATATATCAAAACATTTTTTGAATTTATTAGTCCTTCTCACTTTATTTAGTCCCATGTAGCAAGTCTCAATTATCTGCTAGAATTTCTGTAACCCAGATTTTCTATAAACTCTTGTTTTTCTTTATTTTTTGAAAAATACATATTCCAGAGTACTCAGTACCTTCCATACAATTTTTTCTGAATACAAATCTTAGTAAATAACCTCTGTAAAAAATAGCAAATAGGGCCTCCCCAGATGGTGCAGGTGGTTGAACCCAGTGCTGTGGAGCTGTCCGCAGGCAGCCTCTGCAGTGCAGGTTCAATCCCAGTCAGCCTGCAAGAATCCCACATGGGATGGTAGACTTCTCCTGTCTTGCCCACTGCTCCCCTCAACAGTGTATTTCATCAGTCTGCCTGTTCTGTTCCCCACTCTGTTGCTGGTGAATCCTCTCACACTCCCGCGTATTTGGCCTGTACCCTGGTTCTTGTATGAATGAATAAACAAATCTTAAAAAAAATAGCAAATAACTTAAAAATAATCATACTTAAAATATGATTAAAAAGCAATGAACAAAGATGTTTGCTAAATTTTGTGACATGAATATTTCAGAATGATCAGAATTGACCAATAATCTTATACAGAACATATTAAGCTTAGGAAGTTTTACATAACTTAGACCACTCCTATGAATTCACATACATGCTGAAAAGGTAACCATTTCCCCTATGACAATGCTTCATATGAAATTTCAATATACCCAAATTGGCCCAAATTGCTTTAACATTTCTTTCTACAAAGAAAACAATTTCAAGAGATGTCTTATAAGTTCTTCCATGACATCCCATATTTTTTCTTTAATTGATCAAAGATTTACTATTTTAGAAATTTGATAGCAGGGAAGTTTTACCAAAGGGTTAACAAACTTACAGATTTATAAAATAATATTTACCCAGAGTAACAAATAAAGGTTTGTAAGAGCAGATCTATTTCTATGACAAGGCTCAGAAACAATAACAGGATTAGATTCCTCTCAGCTAACCACACTTAGGGTAAAAGAGCACCAAAGATACTCAGATTACCTAAACAGTCTAAAGACTGCAATTAAATAAATTATTAAAATAAATTATATAACTGTTGTTGTTAAAGCTAGTAAAAGCATTTAATACTTTTGTCCTTTTAGCAGATGAAAAAAAAAAAGTATTTGGTTTCCCTTAAGTACACTACTGATATCAAAGATTAACTTAAATACTCTTGGAACAAGTAATTTTATTGGAGGTATAGTATGTCCTAATGAACTCCATCCATTGATGATGTTTTACAGACTCCACCCGTACCTCCATGTCAAAGAGATCTCAGGTGCCAAGCATTGCAACTCCTCTCTTACCATGAATCTGTCATGTCTCTGACTTCCTGAAGGAGGCGTTACTGAGA